ATATCCCAAGCTGGGGCATCTTCTAGTAAACTGAACTGTCCGTAGCCAATGCAATCCAGGGTGGAATTTTAAAGGTCATGTAACACAGGAAGTTTCTAATTATCCCCCTTATGATGTAAGTATTTATAACTGTGTGGCTTCCTGTACGAAAGATACCCCCAAGTCTTAGGAAATAAGTTATCAAGAAGAAGAAGGAGGAGGAGGAGGAAGAAGAGGAGGAGGAGGAAGGGGAGGAAGAAGGGGAGGAGGAGGAGATTGTACTTCACTCAGAGTCTCAGACCAGCTTATAAACTCCTTTCCATTCCCCTCCCCACAACAGACACCCTGTGAGGCAGGTGGGGCTGAGAGAGCTCTGACAGAAACTGTCCTTTTTCAAGAACAGCTCTGACAGAACTATGGCTTGCCCAAGGTCATCCAGCAGCTGCACATGAAGGAGTGGGGAATCAAACCCAGTTCTCCCAGACCAGCGTCTGCGCACTTAACCACTACACCAAACTTAACCAAAGAAAATGGTCTCCAAAGGCTTGTCGCTAACATATCAAATCGGAGAAGCTAGGATTTACCAGATAAGTTTAAGACAACATTAAGAATGTAGCGCAGCATACTAGCCAAGCTATGAAACAGGAAGATACGGACTCGAATCCTGCCTCTGCTATGAAATCACTACAGGGCTTTAAGCAAAGCTGGGGATCCCCATACCTTCGGGAACGTTTCCTCCAGTACGTCCCCAAAAGAACGCTGAGATCGGGTAGTAACAACCTGCTGGCTGTCCTCGACTAGGGTCTAGAGATGTAAAATTTCCGGAAATTTTGAAGCGCGGGAAAAAAACCAAGTTTTTTCCGTGTTTTTTTTTTTAAAAAAAAACGGAAATTTTCGGAAAAATTGAAAAAAATGCTACATTAGCATTTCTTTTGTCTTTTCTAAATTGAAAGTCATTCTGTTACTTTAGGAACATAAAATATGACTATGGACATTTTTATTTGGCATGAAATTATCACAACTAGCATATTAAAAATATAGTGTATCCAAACAATTATTACTAACAGAATACCCACCCACATGCAAAAACAAAACTGAAACCTTTTTATTTTCTTCTGACAATAGCACCTTCTAAAGGAAGAAATGCATCTTGTTCTTGCATTGGAGAGTTCAGTTTGTAACTAGGACTCGCTTGTCCTCAGTGCACAGAAATTAGATCAATCTGATACCATGTATATATATTTTAGAAATGATTTGGAAAATATTTGAACACCTTGTCTTAAAATATTTTATTCATGATGTTAAAATAAAACGTTCCATAATCATTTTTTTCTTTTCTTTTTTCAATTTTTCCAATTTTTCGGGAAAAAACAAAAAATCTTCAGGAAAAAAATGGGAAAAAAACGTTTTTTTTCCGAATTTTTCCGGTTTTTTTCCGGGCCTTCACATCTCTACTAGGGTCGGGGCCTTTTCGGTCCTGGCCCCGACCTGGTGGAACTCACAGCCAAATAACATCAGGGCCTTGCGGGATCTGATGCAATTCCGCAGGGCCTGTAAGGCAGAGATGTTCCTCCAGGCTTTTGGTTGAAGAAAGCAACGGGAGGTTAAGACTGGCTCCCTTCCTTTCTCTTCTACGCCCCCCCACGTACTCTTGCCCACCCTGCCGTGCGGGAACAGCGGTGTGGCCGATAAAGGGGGATTATCATTTCGCTATCTCGGATCGGTTCAAGTTACTGACTTACTGTTGACAAACTTAATTATATATACTGATTGTATTTTAAACGTTTTATAAGGGCTGCAAATCGCCCAGAGCCTGCTCGGAGGGTGGGTGATTCATACATTTAATGAAATAAAATAAAGTCCTTTCTCACGTTCTCTGTATGCCACCCAAACACAATAGCCCCACATTAATAACACTGATCTATCGTACAGGACTGTTGCAAGGATGACAATAATAGCTGTGAAGTGCTTTGAAGACTCTAAACCTCCTCATAATAATGTGGGGGGGGGGTTAAGAAGAGGAGATTGGATTTATACCCCGCCTTTCACTACCTGAAGGCGTCTCAGAGCGGCTTACGATCTCCTTTCCCTTCCCCTCCACACAACGGTAGGAGCCGCCACCATCACTATACCATCACCGGACCACCACCACTAAATCGAGTGGGTGTCATCAGGGAAGGAGACGGCCCTGGGAGGAAGGATGGATTGCTGTGGCATGTGTGACCCCATCTGTTATTTGTGACATCTAGAGCCAACCTAGCAGTTCGAAAGCAAGAAATTGCAAGTAGATAAATAGGTACCACTTCATTGGGAAGGTAACAGCGTTCTGTGCGCCTTGGTGTTTAGTCATGCCAGCCATGTGACCACAGAAATGTCTTCGGACAGCACTGACTCTTCAGTTTTGAAACAGAGATGAGCACCGCAACCCTAGAGTCGGACTCGACTGGCTTTCGAGCAAGGGAACCTTTACCTTTACCTTTAGAGCACGTGTATTTTTTATATGAATGATTGTTTTATTGCTTGTTTTATCCTGTTTTTACCTGTTTAATCTTGGCATATGTGCCTCATTTGTTAGCCGCCCTGAGCCCATCCGGGGAGGGCAGGGTATAAATATAATAACAACAACAACACCCGGTGAGGTAGGTGGGGCTGAGAGAGCTCTTTTGAGAACTCCCCTTGAGAGAACAGCTCAAAGAGAACTTGTGACTGACCCAAGGTCACACCAGCAGCTGCATGTGGAGGAGCGGGGAATCCAACCCGGTCCTCCCGGATTAGAGCCCGCTCCTAACCACTACACCAAACATGCAATGGTGTTTCACCTGACAGCAAGAGTCATCGAGTCAGAAGGGGCCATACAGGCCGTCTAATCCAACCCTTTGCACAACGCAGGATCAGCACCCGGAACAAGTGTTTGCCCAGCCGCTGCTTGAAGATTGCCAGCGAGGGGGAGCTCTCGTCTCCCCAGGCAGCTGATTCCACTGCTGAACTACCCGTACTGTAAAATAAAATTTCCCTAACATCCATCCAGTACCTTTTGGCTCGTAATTTAAAACCCATTATTGTGAGTCCTCTCCTCTGCCGCCAACAGCAACAGCTCCCTGCCCTGCTCTAAGAGACAGTCTTTCAAATACTTAATACATGAATCAGAAAACAGGATTTCGCCCCCCCCCCCAGCTTATTCCCAAAGTTCCCGTGATAAGCTTATACTGCGGAACCTCAGTAGAGAACGTACGTCCAAAGATGCATTAGAGACTGTACTTCCAAATGATTACTTTGGCGGCACTACAAATGTTCCATTCGCTTCTGAAAGCGAAAGACATCAGGCTGGCAGTTCTGAAAATGCACTTTCAAATCGCAAAGACATATTTCTGAGACAGGCCCGTACAGCTGATGACTTCGGGCGGGCGGTCTAGTCGATGCAAAACTACGTCCCACTGGGCCGCTGCAGCTTGGAATTCGTGTCTGACTAAGCAAATAACTTGGAGATAAATTCCCAAGGCTGAGATTCTTGTCTGGTTTCCATTCCAGAGTTGAAAAGGAGAGACGGGAATTATTTTTCAGGCCAAAAAAGCAAAAGTCAGAAGTAGGCAGGAGTGGAATATATCACACTTGTCAACCTCGGGAAATACTTCGCATAGCCCTTTGGCACAGATAGCTTTGAGCAGGTTTGCGGGGCTGCCGGCAGCCTGTCGCGGTGACGTTACTTGTATCTGTTACGAAGCCAACGCAAGAGTTGGGAAAATCTAATATGTGCTCAGTGAGACTGTAAAGCGACGAACCTAAGTGAAGAAGCGATAACCACCCGCGCAGGGACGGAATACATGCATAGCAAAACATTTGGTTAAAGCAGATCTACAACTGCGCCTCTTGTTCGGAAAGCAAAGGCAGTCATCAGCAGTAGGACTGGCAGATGTCACCAGCCTGGGGATGCCAACCTCCAGATGGGGCCTGGAGTTCCCCCACAAGTACCACAGATCTCCAGATTAGAGACATAGAATCATAGAATCATAGCGTTGGAAGGGGCCATACAGACCATCTAGCTCAGTGGTGGCGAACCTGTGGCACGGGTGCCAGAGGTGGCACTCAGAGCCCTCTCTGCGGGCATGTGTGCCATCGCCCCAGCCAGGCCCAGACCATCATTAAAGTGTCAAATTCTCTGCCAAATAATTTTAAGTAAATGAAAGCATTTGGGATTGCTTTCGTTACTTTGTTTGGATCATCTTCAGTTAATGTATGAGTTGTTTTTTTCTAAAGTAAAACCTCAATATTCAGGTTAAATGGCCGTGTTGGCACTTTGCCATAAATAAGTGGGTTTTGGGTTGCAGTTTGGGCACTCGGTCTCTAAAAGGTTCGCCATCACTGATCTAGTCCAACCCCCTGCCCAATGCAGGACCAGCCTGAAGCATCTCTGACAAATATTCGTCCAGCCTCTTCAGTGAAGGGGAGCTAACCACCTCAGAGGCAGCCGATTCCACCTTTGAACCACTCCTACCGTGAAAACGTTTTTCCCAATATCCAGCCGATACCTTTCTGCATGTCATTTAAACCTGTTGCTTCGGGTCCTCTCCTCTGCTGCCAACTGGAACAGCTCCCTGCCCTCCTCCAAGTGACAGCCTTTCAAATATTTAAAGAGAGCAATCATGTCCCCCCTCAGTCTCCCCTTCTCCAAACTAAACATTCCCAAGGCCCTCAGCCTTTCCTCGTAGGGCTCAGTCTCCAGACCCCTGATCATCCTCGTCACATTCTTCTGCACCCTCTCGATTTTGCCCACATCCTTTTTGAAGTGAGGCCTCCAGAACCAGAGGAAATGACAGCATTGGAGCACAGACTCTATGGTATACCACAGTCTCTAGGAAACATGGAAGTCCTAGAGTGACCAGACAACCCCCCTCTGAGCTATCTCCCCAAACTCCGCCCTCCTTGGGCATCCAGACCCTAATCTCCAGGATTTCCCTAAACTGGAGTTGGCAACTTTATACCAGCCCCTTCCAACCGCCCCCCACACAGAAGACACCCCTTACCATTTCTTGGTGCACTCGACCATCAGCTCCTGGTAAGAGGCCACAAACTGGAACTTGGAGGCATGTTTCCCCACGCGTTGCAGCCTCTTCCACACTGAAGCCATGGCGAGGGGGAAATAATACCAGCGCAGCCGGTGACTCAAAACCAGCAGCTGCAAGTCCCGGGCTCGAAGTTTGCACCGTCCGAGTCTAGCAAAAAACGAGGGACGTGGCAGAGGTCAGAAGGATGCGCAGGGCGCCCCATCCGGACATCTCTTTCCCAGGAAAAAATCCCACGCGACACAAAGCGGCGTGACAGCGGGTGAAAGCCAGGACGAGGAATTCCCCCTCACGGAGTCGTCATCGCCGTTCCTCTTCATGGGCTCTCCGGGGAGGGTCCGACCACGACGGCCAGCTGGAAAGCAACAGAAGAATGGTCAAGAAGCAAGGGCTCAGGCATCGGATGCAGCAGGGCTGCCCCCCCCCCCCGCCGCCGCCAGTTTGCTTAGGTTTTGCGCATGGATACCCTACCGGGCCCTCGGGGAGGTGTGGGGAAAGAGCAGCCAGCCACAGTGTCAGGAATGCAAGCCTCCAGCCTGTCGAGAAACAGACCGACCTGTGCGTTTTATCAGGATCCTCAGCATCCAAACACGGGCGGGGAGGGGGGGAGCAGAAGGAGTCGCAGCAGGCCTGGCCGCTCAGAGCCATTCTCCAGCATCTCCTGGAAGCAGCCAGCGGGAGCCACAGAGGGAGAAGTTCTTTGTCTCCATGCCGATGACAGGAAAACGTGTAACAGTTGTTCCTGGGCCGCCCCCCCTCCCCTGCGGCCCGCTCCCTAGGGGAACGGCCTGTCACACTGGGGAAGCGATGGGGGGGGAGCACGGGAGACGGCGGCAGCGGAACAAGCATTTCCTAAGCTGCAGTTCCTCCGGACAGGGAAAATCCCGTCCCCTGCGTGGGACTCCTTCCACCTCACAAAACGTGGGAATGACTTTCCAAAGAGGGACCCGGGGGAAATGCGGGGGGGGGGGGGGTCAGCTTGTGACCGCAACACCTTGGACTTATCCCTGATCATAACAGCATCCGTTTATCCCAGGACAAGTGTGGGATGAAACCGGGGTGACCTCAACCTAACGTGGAAACAAAAAATTCCCCGAGATAATTAACAGGGGTGAACTCGCGTGTAGTGTAGAATGTAAGTTCGGGGACAGGGTTGAACCCGGATTTAAGGTCTAGTGTGGAAAGGACCTAACTTGGGTTGGCCCAGGCCTGATCTTGGAAGCGAAGTAGTGTCGGTCCTGGTTAGGGCTTGGATGGGG